CAAGATTTCATACCGGTTGAATATTTCTTTTAAATGTGAAGTGAAGCAACCTTTACTTCTCCGAAAATAGTGTTCTTTATTTTAGTTTCTATCTCCTGCATTCACAGTGGCCGCTCAACACATCAAATACAAGCTCTTAGGTAAACTTCTCACATAAGTAGAAAAAAATCCTCGCGCCGCCATCTTTATTTTAAATTTTCGTCTTTTAATCTCGCGCTTCTTTCGCACGTTTCTCTCGCGCGTGACGCAAGAGTTATCTGTTCCCCGCGCAAGGAAACTAATACGAGCCACCTTAAGTGCACGATTGCAAAATTGGCGTAAACCTTGGATATCTTTAGTTATGAACACAATATGGTTTGAAAACACAAAAATTTGCTGCACGGTCGTATGCCGTGTCCTTTTGATCTCCTTGCACGCAACAAATACGATTGGGCGAACCAAATACGTTTTTGCGTCGTTTATATAAAAGTTCTTCTACGCTTTTGTGATTATGTCGCGATATCTTACCGAATCAACTCTATGAACATTGTTTACGCTCGTTTGAAAAACTCCCCGTCCCTCTCGGTCGTTTATCGCTTAAACACCCGTTAGAACAAATAGCATTTCTTTATCACCGAGAACAATGGCTCGTAAATAACTTATGAGTTATCTTGAACAAAGGATCACAAAGGACTACTATAGCTTTCGTGTTGGCAACATCAAGTGGCTTTAGGAAAGGAAATTACCGAAAGCCAAAAGGTAAGATCGAGGAACATCTATTGTCTTACTGAAAAAAAAAATTATAAAAAACGTTCCTCAACCAGATTGACTGATATTTGACTGGACTGAGGAATGCTTTCTAAAGCGTTCCTCAACGACCTCGCTCGGACGGTTCAGACCAAAAGTTAACTGATGCTATTTTGCGCTAGAAATTTCGGATATAATACAAGTAGTGAATCCTTTTTTGAATGTCTTCGTTTTATAATAAAAGGCCATGCGTGAATTTCAGTTTTTATTCGACTCTGTTTCACAGGCAATACTTTAACCACTCAACTTTAGATTTAAATGAAACACAACATTCAGGAAGAAAATTACACATTCTCTAATCAATTTTTTTTTTGGTGAAAAGTAAACTCATTCGAGGTAGTTGCTCTTTTCTTCAGATGGATAAGAGATTGCTGAGTATTGGGCTTCTTCTTGCACTGGTTTTCATCCTCTCGACATGGACTTCTGAAGCGAAACATCACAGTAAGTTGAATGCTTGATTTCCATATGAACTTTTACAGGTTGGACCTTAATCTTGAATTTTGTCAAAGAAGGAAAAAATTGAATTTCTCGCTTACCAACCGTTTTTCTCAACTCGTCTTGGAGTTGACTTCTCGTAGGTATCTGATTAGTCGAATTGATTTATTACCGAGCTGATAATTTTGATAAATAAGCAGATGCCATTGTAATTGGCCACACACCAAGGTCAGTAACAAGGCATTGCAAGAGCTGAACCATAACATTTCTCTCAATTGATTAACTTTTTGCCTTTTGGCCTATCATTGAGCCAGAAAATCTGATCACTGAACCAAATGATCTTTTGATAAGATACCGACCTAAGGAAGATAATAATAATTAATTGTACTGCTTGGACATTTGTCATAAATGAACACCTGTTTTCTGACCCAAGACACTTAAAAGTTTATCCTTCATTAACAAACCCAATTCAAAGTTCCATCGGATAATTAACCATAACTGTATGGTAAACGTGATAATTCTAATGATAAAATTTCGCTTTAAAAGTGCCTGAAAATTAATATAGTTACCCTAAGCAAGAAACTAAATAAACTAAATGAATTATTAATTTGCAGATACTATTTTTCGTTTTGGTGCTCTATTGAAAAGGCTTTTATAACGGTCTCAGAACTTTACATGGTTTGAACAAGCATTGTTTCGCAGTTCTGTAAAGGAAATTGGGGAGATCGTTGCCATAAATAACAAGTAGTTTTATAGCGATTCGATCGATAAAAATTTGAAGTTACTTGAAATTAGTTGACTGAAGAAATTACGATGACAAACCTTGTGCCTCAACATCATAAACATTTAAAATGTATCTGCTTACATGTGATGAAATATCGCAAAAGAACATGATTTTGTAAAAGCCTCCAGCAAGAGCCGAACACATTCTGGAATTTAGTATGCAGTTTGATTGCAGACCAGGGAAAAGTAAAAATTCAGACCAAGTTTGGCTATGAGAACGTAATTCAAATAATAATGATAAGGATGCAGAGAGCGCATATTGTAAAAAATGCAGTCTTCTCTCCATAGACCATTTTGGTTTTTATTGATAGCTGTCTCCCTTAATTCAAATAAATTAATAAGGCTACAGAGAGAGCAATATTGTGAAAAAATTCAGGCTCCCCTCGATCGACCATTCTGGTTCTAATTGGTAATTGTCTCGCAAAAGTTAAGCTTCATGCACCATTCTATATCTTTCATAGGACATCACCATCTTAAAAACATACTTCGACACAAAATACAAAAACACGAAACGGACAAGAAAGTAAAAGACAAAGCAGAAGATAAAACAGAGGATAAACCAGGTGGGAATTAAAAATAAACAGAGCCTTCTTTTACATTTTTTTTTTAAAAAAGATCACAATGAAAAATCAATTCGACTCCTTCACCTTCAAAGTTGATAATTTTTTACAGTAATGATTTGATTCATTCAGATGTGCTTAAAACGAACAAAAATCACCATTGACTTTTTATTCATTAAAGATTTTTATTCACCAATACCCATTTATCTCCCGGGAAGATAAATTCGAACATACAAAGAAAGGGAAGAAGCTTGATGTTCAAAACATACAGAGAAAGGGAAGAAGCTTGATGTTCAAAACATACAGAGAAAGGGAAGAAGCTTGATGTTCAAAACACAAAGATTGCACTGGCATCAGGACTTTAATAAGGGGGCTCCCACGCGCGCTTTACGCGCGTGGGGCAGAGCCCCATACCTATGGAATATGATCAACCTCTTTTCGTTTGGTTGTCACGTGACTGACCAAGCGTACATACGTACGTGCCTTCAGATTGCACGGGTAGGGTAGGGGAGACTATCAAAACGAAGGGAGGGGTGACTCAGGCGAGTCTTGGCAAATCCACATATTTTATGTTATCATTAATATTACGAACTTGGGAGCTCCGCTTTTAGGCTTGGCTAAATATGTATATTCTCCGCAGTTAAGCGGGCCAACCACTGGTTGGTTGGTTGAGCAACCAAGACAGAATTTCTCCCTACAATATCAGCACGAAATCAAGCAGAAAAAAGGAGAATGAAGAAAAGTATCATTTAGGGGATTATAAGTTGATCCAATACCAAATTCTCGGAACTAACATCATAAGAATTGTATGGAAGACGGTGAGGAGAAGTGCTAGTTGGATATTGGGAGTAAAAGGGTTGGCGATCTTCCATCTTATGATGGCTGAATGGTTATTACACCGCACAGCATCAAGGAGTGTGACTGGGTTCCTTTGAATCTCCTGGGAAACCTAACTAAATGTTAGGATTGAACTGGAATGGACTACCATAACATCTAGGCTTCGCTTCAATATTTAAGAATAATGAACTGAAAAGCTCGCCTACATCTGAAGTTTTAAGTATTGCAAATGTAACTAAACAACTCATATATGTATCTATATAGAAGAAGATGCGAGTGGAAGTGGAATCGAAAAGGATAGCGCGCCTGATTCTGAAGAAGATGATAAAGGTGAGTAAATGGGCTACTTAAAAAAAAAAAGATTAATTTTTCAGTAAGTAGGGAACAATATTGAAAAATCGATAGGTATAAATGCTCCTTTCATTGGATGCATCATCGTTTGCTGAAGAGGTCACAGTTATGTTCTTTGTTCTGGGCTGTTCTTTCGTGGCTCAGTGGCTTCTAACGAAGAGGAACAACTGATTACATGAACTTGTGGAATTTTTTTATTATTTTATCATCTGATTCAACTGTAACTTTAACAGACGATGAAGAGACCAGAGAAGAGAACTTGAGAGATGAAGAAGAAGCCAAAGAAAGGGAAGAATCAGAGAAAAGGTCCAGGAAGAAATTGCACGATGAAGGTAATTTATCAAAGTTTCTTTTTATTCTTTCTTTCTACGGAAATTGGTTATATGTGGCAAAGAGAAGACCAGAAGGTCCAGCCTGACAAAAAATACATGAGCCATCCGAAGAGCGGAAAAATGCAACTGAACATGTCGCGATAGCTGTACTACTTTTGCATGTAATTGGTCGAGGGTAGCGCGAAAATTAAGACTGAAACGTTAGATATTGACTCGGGCTCTCTTTAGGGAAATCAGTCTCTTAACTTCATTATGTCTCAATTTCAAAATCTTCTAAGGTAACTCACCAAATGACTACTATGTTATTTGCAGTCGAAGCGGACAAAGGATCTCTCAGAGAACTTCTAGACTCAAGCATAGGTATTTTTTTTCAGTTCTGCATGGAATTTAGCTTTGTAATTTTTACAACGTTCGTTATAAATAGCCAGTCAATAGAACTTGTATCTTTCTCTTACAGAAAACCTTGCCAAAGCAGGAAAAGCAATTCAGGCTATCTTGGACGCTACAGGAAAAAATAAAGGTGATTGCCACGAGTTGTACAATTACTGAGGCCGTTTTTGTCTCATTCTCATTTTTTTCTTCCATCCTTTAAATTAACATTTAGACTGGATGTTGACAATGGAACTGCTTTCGTAAGGCAATACAACTAAGTGACGGGTTGCTTATATTTCAAGTTTGCCCCGAGCCCAAAAGTTTAGAGTTTATTTTCTACCCTTCCCGTTGTTTGTACGATCCCAAAGATTCCCGTTTTTTCTCAAAAATACCAATTCACCGCTCTCGTGAACTGTTTTATTTTCTAGTAAGCCAGACTTGTCCTGGAACATGCCCGGATGTATGTGCACCCGGATGTATCTCGACCTGTTGCAATCCACCAGCAAATCCCGTGGCCCAAGCCGCGGGCCAAGCTCCGTACCCTAGTGCTTATCAACCTGATCCATATCAATATGCAGCAGCTCAACAACAGTACAGCCAGTATGGTCAGCTACCTCAGGCTGCACAAGCTGCACAGGTTCCTCAGGCACTCCCAGCTCCCCAGACACCCCAGTACCCTCATCAACCAGCAGCGCAGCAATGTCCACAGCAGTGCTCTGTGATCCCTTGTCCTAGCGCCTGCCCACAAAGCTGCTGTAGTGCACAACCACAGTATCCTCCGCCCGCGCAACCGGCGATGAGTGCACCAAATTTCCTGGTCCTTCCTCCCGCTCCAAAGAAACCAAACAACACCCAGTCGTCCAGCTGTGCTTCACCATGCGCTCAATCGTGTGCTCCTGCCTGTCTCCCAAGTTGCTGTTCCCCCTCCATGGGCATGCAAATGGGAATGCCTTATCCACAGCAACCACCAATGATGCCCCAAATGCCTCCGATGGCTCAGATACAACAACAAATGCCACAGCAAGCATGCCCACAGGCGTGCCAGCCTGCTGTACCTGGCGGATGTGCACCACAAGCTCAATGCCCTCAGCAATGTTGCCCTAAAGGGCGCAGATGAATTTCCGTTTAACTTCAACAATATTCGCTCATGATAAGTAATAGGATGAAAAAGAAATCAAAAATATTTCTACGAAAGGTATACTGTTGGATCTTGGGATAATGTCTAACGAGTTTATAGAAGGTGTAGCTGTGGGAACATCTGTCTAGACTTATGGCCTGTGTTCATAGGTACGTGATGAACTATAGAAAGACTTTGCTTTGAGAGTTATTTTATCGTTAGAATGCTTTATGCGATATTAGATGAGTTAGTTTAAGCATGCAATTTATGCAGAAACGGCAAACACCAAAAGGAACTCCGAAAGTACAAAGTCCCCACTTGTCCCAGTTGTCCCCAGCATTTGTATCAAAATCTCAAATTCTCAGTTCATGCAATCCTTTTGAATCAAATGTGTACAAACAGCTGATTCAGAAATAAGACTATCAGAAGTTCAATTTTTGCCACTCACCATTTCCTGTCTGACGAAAGAGTCGTGGTCTTTCTCTCTCACGGGCTGATTGCTCTTCACATAATTACTGAATATAGAAAAACTGGTAGACGTCTATAGAAATTGAAATTGGTACAACCAGTAAAATGCTAACATTTAGACCCGTTTGTGTAAAGAATGCCGTCATGACAAGATGAAATTAAAAGTTACGAGCATCTTTACGAGGCTCTTTCTCACATTCGTAAAGTGTCAGAAATTGTAATCGGGTAATACATCAATTAACATCACTTACTTTTCAAAGTTATGCATTTTTTTTTAGGTCTCGCCTTACATTTTTTGTTTTGTATTATTCTCAGAAATGAGTAAAAGTTTTCAGAGCCTTGTGTCAATGAAGCTAAAGGCGGCATAAAAACAATGTTTAGAAAGTGTACACCAAATAAATCGTCGTGAACAGACCATGACCCCTGTTGAGGGAAAATATCACAACTTTAATTTTAAACAGACGATGTTTTAATAAACAGTGTTTCAGTCAAATCTGAGTCATTTTTTCCTAGCACAGTTTTCTGACCAACTGAAACTGAAAAGAGATTGGCCTCAAAAATACCTGCCAACCACTTAAAACAAGCTAAAAACCAATCCTGAGACTTAGTCGTCCTCATTTTCCCGCGCATCTGGTAATTTGAATTGGAGTTCTAATCAGGTCTCTGTTATATTTTCGT